TGGAGGATGAGCTTGAGAGGACTAAAGCCGAGCAAGCTGAACTTCGGGAAGAGCTATCGGAGGTTCAAAAGGAGACCAACGAGCAAATTAAGTTGCTGATAGCGGAGGTCGGAAGAACTCGAGAGCTGACGAAGCTCAGAAAATTCATCCAGGAGAGATACAATGCGGCCTGCCTAAAGGATGTCCACAAGGCATACCAAGCTGCCGTGAAGAGAAATATAGAGGGAATTCCCTTATCAGAAAAGGGAAAAAGAACAACGGCAACCAAACCAAAGGGGAAAGCCAAGTCAGAGAAGACAGCCGTCCAAGAAGGATGTCAACAAACTCAACTGACAGACAAGAAGTGCCCGATGGTAAAGCTGAACCGGATTCGGACCAAGAGCCAGGATTCCTCCTTGGAAGAAGAAATCTTACCAGCCAAGGAACAGAAGGAAGCCAGCCTAACCAAAGAATTCGAGCAGAGCGAAGCCAGTTCGACCGGGGAACTCGAACACGGTAACGTACCGTACCGTACCGTAACGTACCGTACCGTAACGTACCGTACCGTACCGTAACGTACCGTACCGTAACGTACCGTACCGTACCGTAACGTACCGTACCGTAACGTACCGTACCGTACCGTAACGTACCGTACCGTAACGTACCGTACCGTACCGTAACGTACCGTACCGTAACGTACCGTACCGTACCGTAACGTACCGTACCGTAACGTACCGTACCGTACCGTAACGTACCGTACCGTAACGTACCGTACCGTACCGTAACGTACCGTACCGTAACGTACCGTACCGTACCGTAACGTACCGTACCGTAACGTACCGTACCGTACCGTAACGTACCGTACCGTAACGTACCGTACCGTACCGTAACGTACCGTACCGTAACGTACCGTACCGTACCGTAACGTACCGTACCGTAACGTACCGTACCGTACCGTAACGTACCGTACCGTAACGTACCGTACCGTACCGTAACGTACCGTACCGTAACGTACCGTACCGTACCGTAACGTACCGTACCGTAACGTACCGTACCGTACCGTAACGTACCGTACCGTAACGTACCGTACCGTACCGTAACGTACCGTACCGTAACGTACCGTACCGTACCGTAACGTACCGTACCGTAACGTACCGTACCGTACCGTAACGTACCGTACCGTAACGTACCGTACCGTACCGTAACGTACCGTACCGTAACGTACCGTACCGTACCGTAACGTACCGTACCGTAACGTACCGTACCGTACCGTAACGTACCGTACCGTAACGTACCGTACCGTACCGTAACGTACCGTACCGTTGCAACCGGCATCAAAAATATACTAAACTTGACTTCAGTTCTTATACAATGTTGATATCAGAACTGACACCGGATCGGGTCAGTCCTGAATAGAGTCTTATAGATGTTAAGAAATAAAGTATTAAAACTGCGAGATGCCGTATCTGGACATATCTGATGACTGGTCGAAGGGCAAACGTGAGCCACCAGCGAGATGCGTTGAAGAAAAAGGTATCATAAGTTGATTAACATTCTATTAGTAAATTCACATTGTAGAATCAAGGTTCATTTGAGTTTAGCAAGACTACGCACTATGACTTTAAAGAAGCATATCTAGAGATACATATATTAGTGAAGCAATAGTTAAATCAGTATCTGATGACTGGTCGAAGGGCAAACGTGAGCCACCAGCGAGATGCGTTGAAGAAAAAGGTATCATAAGTTGATTAACATTCTATTAGTAAATTCACATTGTAGAATCAAGGTTCATTTGAGTTTAGCAAGACTACGCACTATGACTTTAAAGAAGCATATCTAGAGATACATATATTAGTGAAGCAATAGATAATTCAGTGAAAATTCTATAATCATTAAAAATAAACTTTCCATACAAGGAAACGTTGGTTAAAAAGAAGGTAAATGCCTTAGATGCAGAATAAATTCAGCCTCGTTGGCATTTTATATGATTCTTATGGGGTTCGATGTGAAAGTTATGAATAATAGGAAAAATTAACAATCACTATACTTACCATGTCCAATATTGAATAAAAAGGTAGTATCCACAGCAAGACGAAATCCTATAAGAGTAGAATAGACAGGAAGCAGGAATAAACAATTGTTCAATGGCATGATGATAAATAATTAGATAATTTATTAATGCCGAAAGACAGTATACAACAAAGTTAACAGAGACTTGGCCAGACACTCAACTTGCCTGAAAGAACAATAATTTTGCAGTATATCCTCAAAAAAGTAACTTGTCAATGGTAGATTATAAATAATTTGAATAATTTCTAATTATGAACGAATAGCACACATTGCTCATAATGACATAAAGTTTTTACATTAGCTGATGTCAAACAAACATAATTCTAGCGACATTTCACTCGAAATAGGTATTGTCAATAGCATATCTAGAGATACATATATTAGTGAAGCAATAGATAATTCAGTGAAAATTCTATAATCATTAAAAATAAACTTTCCATACAAGGAAACGTTGGTTAAAAAGAAGGTAAATGCCTTAGATGCAGAATAAATTCAGCCTCGTTGGCATTTTATATGATTCTTATGGGGTTCGATGTGAAAGTTATGAATAATAGGAAAAATTAACAATCACTATACTTACCATGTCCAATATTGAATAAAAAGGTAGTATCCACAGCAAGACGAAATCCTATAAGAGTAGAATTGACAGGAAGCAGGAATAAATAATTGTTCAATGGCAAGATGATAAATAATTAGATAATTTATTAATGCCGAAAGACAGTATACAACAAAGTTAACAGAGACTTGGCCAGACACTCAACTTGCCTGAAAGAACAATAATTTTGCAGTATATCCTCAAAAAAGTAACTTGTCAATGGTAGATTATAAATAATTTGAATAATTTCTAATTATGAACGAATAGCACAGAGTCTTATAGATGTTAAGAAATAAAGTATTAAAACTGCGAGATGCCGTATCTGGACATATCTGATGACTGGTCGAAGGGCAAACGTGAGCCACCAGCGAGATGCGTTGAAGAAAAAGGTATCATAAGTTGATTAACATTCTATTAGTAAATTCACATTGTAAAATCAAGGTTCATTTGAGTTTAGCAAGACTACGCACTATGACTTTAAAGAAGCATATCTAGAGATACATATATTAGTGAAGCAATAGATAATTCAGTGAAAATTCTATAATCATTAAAAATAAACTTTCCATACAAGGAAACGTTGGTTAAAAAGAAGGTAAATGCCTTAGATGCAGAATAAATTCAGCCTCGTTGGCATTTTATATGATTCTTATGGGGTTCGATGTGAAAGTTATGAATAATAGGAAAAATTAACAATCACTATACTTACCATGTCCAATATTGAATAAAAAGGTAGTATCCACAGCAAGACGAAATCCTATAAGAGTAGAATTGACAGGAAGCAGGAATAAATAATTGTTCAATGGCAAGATGATAAATAATTAGATAATTTATTAATGCCGAAAGACAGTATACAACAAAGTTAACAGAGACTTGGCCAGACACTCAACTTGCCTGAAAGAACAATAATTTTGCAGTATATCCTCAAAAAAGTAACTTGTCAATGGTAGATTATAAATAACTTGAATAATTTCTAATTATAAACAAATAGCACAGATTGCTCATAATGACATAAAGTTTTCACATTAGCTGATGTCAGGTAAATATAACTCTAGCGGCAATTCGCTCGAAATAGGTATTGTCAATAGAAAAAACTGTAAACAATATAGTAAATTGTTATTACAAATAGATAGCACGTTGTTAACGTAATGACGCCTTGCTTGGACTCCATCCTATATCAAATATACGGAAATTTTGCAAAAAATACTTTGAGAAAGATATTGATAATGGATTATTTATAAATATTCTATAAATTTATAATTACAAGCAGGTAGCATGAATTAGACATGATAGCGTAGAGTCTTAAGACTAGTTATTGGAAATCCAATAAAAAAATTAATGAATTTTTGCCGATAATTACATTGTCAGTGGAATACACAAGTAATTCGATAATTCGTTATTATAAACAAATGCCAGTCGAGGGTTACAATGAAACCACGAATTGACATTAGACTTTGACAAATAAGTTGCAATTTTGACAAAAAACCCCATAGGATGTATTGTCAATAGAAACGATTCAGATTGTTGATAAATTAGACTAAGCGTCTCATAACTAATAAAAATAGTGCGTGGTACGTTAATATTAATAGTTTATTAATAAATTAGATGTCAAGGTATTATAATTTCGAGAATCCAAATTTGGGCTGATTTGAGAAAAGTCCTAAGCGCATCAGAATTGTTGCTAGGCCAGGACAATCTCAGGAATGTTCGAACAACGACCGCAAGTTCTAAGAATTTGACGTCACGAAAAGTGGCGTGATGTCCAATTACGGCTAAACCGAGATAGTTACGACTCGGGTTATTTAATTAAGCATTATATTATAATTTTGCGATTATGTTAAAATTATATAGGACTCTGTCGATTGTTAAGAACTAACAGTTCAATAGTTTATAAACTTGTATCGTTAATAATTTCCACGACAAACCTGCACCGTTACCAAAGATGCGTGTAGGTGGTGTAAGATTTAGTTTTGTTTAATTATAATTTGTAAGAATACCTCTAATTACTTATAAATTATAAGTTAAGAAGCACGGCTGAAATTTCATCGAAATGTTAGTTATTAAATAGCTAGCAGGGCAAATTATAGTTTATTATCAAGCTTTAGGTCACCAGAAAGTCTTGATAATGTTTATTGCTAAAAATAATGTAAATTTAGACTATTTTCGCTAATTTGCAAATTTCGCCCTGCTGATTGGCAAATGAACACTAGGAAGGGATTGACTCGGTGTTCGAAGTCAACTGAGCGCTCATTGGCTGCGGCTAAAGCACTTAGCGATTCTATTTAAGGAGCAAGCGCCATGACTCCAGGTTCCAGTCCGATATCGCGAGTCAGTGCACGTACTACGTCGTTCCGCGTGGACCAACTTCCTAATGGCGTAAGTGTCTTAGACACTACGCTCATTGGTGGCTAGAGTACTTGCCAAAGTGTTTAGTTGTAATCTTCATTGATTCGGTCGTGTAGTAATTGAACGAGGAAAATATATAGCCATTTTTATTTTGTTTTTACATATAAATTCAAAATTTTATTTGGTCTATTGCCATTCTTTTACCTCGACGGCAGCAACAACATCCAAGGAGGTCTCAACAGCAGGAAGTTTGGAAACCCTTTCCTGATTTTTGGTTAAAATTAGGTGGCGACCGACAGACCATCGGTTCACCATTCTTCGGTTCGAAGCAAAGGCACACGGATCAAGGACCGCCCTCCGTGGGACAGCCGAATCTAGGAGGACCAGGAATTCTCTAAGGGCAGAGGATTACCAGTAGGCCTACCAATCCGGTCACAACCTAACCTAACCTAACCTAACCTAACCTAACCTAACCTAACCTAACCTAACCTAACCTAACCTAACCTAACCTAACCTAACCTAACCTAACCTAACCTAACCTAACCTAACCTAACCTAACCTAACCTAACCTAACCTAACCTAACCTAACCTAACCTAACCTAACCTAACCTAACCTAACCTAACCTAACCTAACCTAACCTAACCTAACCTAACCTAACCTAACCTAACCTAACCTAACCTAACCTAACCTAACCTAACCTAACCTAACCTAACCTAACCTAACCTAACCTAACCTAACCTAACCTAACCTAACCTAACCTAACCTAACCTAACCTAACCTAACCTAACCTAACCTAACCTAACCTAACCTAACCTAACCTAACCTAACCTAACCTAACCTAACCTAACCTAACCTAACCTAACCTAACCTAACCTAACCTAACCTAACCTAACCTAACCTAACCTAACCTAACCTAACCTAACCTAACCTAACCTAACCTAACCTAACCTAACCTAACCTAACCTAACCTAACCTAACCTAACCTAACCTAACCTAACCTAACCTAACCTAACCTAACCTAACCTAACCTAACCTAACCTAACCTAACCTAACCTAACCTAACCTAACCTAACCTAACCTAACCTAACCTAACCTAACCTAACCTAACCTAACCTAACCTAACCTAACCTAACCTAACCTAACCTAACCTAACCTAACCTAACCTAACCTAACCTAACCTAACCTAACCTAACCTAACCTAACCTAACCTAACCTAACCTAACCTAACCTAACCTAACCTAACCTAACCTAACCTAACCTAACCTAACCTAACCTAACCTAACCTAACCTAACCTAACCTAACCTAACCTAACCTAACCTAACCTAACCTAACCTAACCTAACCTAACCTAACCTAACCTAACCTAACCTAACCTAACCTAACCTAACCTAACCTAACCTAACCTAACCTAACCTAACCTAACCTAACCTAACCTAACCTAACCTAACCTAACCTAACCTAACCTAACCTAACCTAACCTAACCTAACCTAACCTAACCTAACCTAACCTAACCTAACCTAACCTAACCTAACCTAACCTAACCTAACCTAACCTAACCTAACCTAACCTAACCTAACCTAACCTAACCTAACCTAACCTAACCTAACCTAACCTAACCTAACCTAACCTAACCTAACCTAACCTAACCTAACCTAACCTAACCTAACCTAACCTAACCTAACCTAACCTAACCTAACCTAACCTAACCTAACCTAACCTAACCTAACCTAACCTAACCTAACCTAACCTAACCTAACCTAACCTAACCTAACCTAACCTAACCTAACCTAACCTAACCTAACCTAACCTAACCTAACCTAACCTAACCTAACCTAACCTAACCTAACCTAACCTAACCTAACCTAACCTAACCTAACCTAACCTAACCTAACCTAACCTAACCTAACCTAACCTAACCTAACCTAACCTAACCTAACCTAACCTAACCTAACCTAACCTAACCTAACCTAACCTAACCTAACCTAACCTAACCTAACCTAACCTAACCTAACCTAACCTAACCTAACCTAACCTAACCTAACCTAACCTAACCTAACCTAACCTAACCTAACCTAACCTAACCTAACCTAACCTAACCTAACCTAACCTAACCTAACCTAACCTAACCTAACCTAACCTAACCTAACCTAACCTAACCTAACCTAACCTAACCTAACCTAACCTAACCTAACCTAACCTAACCTAACCTAACCTAACCTAACCTAACCTAACCTAACCTAACCTAACCTAACCTAACCTAACCTAACCTAACCTAACCTAACCTAACCTAACCTAACCTAACCTAACCTAACCTAACCTAACCTAACCTAACCTAACCTAACCTAACCTAACCTAACCTAACCTAACCTAACCTAACCTAACCTAACCTAACCTAACCTAACCTAACCTAAATCTAAAAGGAGATGCTCGTACCTGGGGAAACTTGATTGAATATCAAAATTTTGAACAATTTAAGGATATGTTTCTGGCTAGACATTGGAATGATAAAATTCAACAAGATGTAATGGCATATATAATGAACGGACGTTACGAGCCAAAATTCGGATCCATGGAAACATATTTTTTAACGTGGATGACGCATGCTAATTATGTTGATGCGCCGCTGACCGAGAAATGGAAAATTGAAAAATTATTGTTACATTTTCCTGAACGTGTATATGAGCGTTTACGATCAATGGCGGACCTGACAGTTCCACGCGTAATTTCACGATTGATCGAATATGACGGATCAAGTGTAGGATTGGCTATCGAGAGCCCTAGGGGAGTCGATAAAAATCCAATTAGAACTCAGAAATCTTCCGAGACCGATGACAGAGAATCTAGAAGGAATTTCTACGGTAGAAAAGAATACGGCAATAAATATGAAAATAAATCAGAAAGGCCAGCTAGAACCGTGGAAATTAAGAAAGAATCAAATATTGGAAACAGACCTAAGGATTCTGAGAAGAAGAAGGTTTGTAGGTTAGAGAGGGTTACCGAGGCTATGAAAGATAACGACGACGGGCAAACAATAGAGCAAGCCAGCGATCCGACTAAGAGCGATGTGTCAACAGACGACGACTCGGATTCCGAAGAGGCAAAACACTACTCTATGACTTTGATAGGTCCGGGCGAATACAACGCAGACTCAGAGTCAGAAATAGAAAATAATCCGAATATCCAACGGAAATATAAATTACCAAGCGTAAAAATTAATTTAGGCGGTAAATTATTTGACGCGTTGATCGATACGGGAGCGGAAGTATCCGTAATATCCGAAAGGGTAATAGACGCGCTAAAATCAAGAAATATAAAATTTCCTATTATTCCCGTAAAAGGAATTAAAATCATGTCAGCTGTCAAAGACAAAGGCACAGTAACCAAAAGAAAGGTATTACTGGATTTCGCGTGCGAGGATCAAATTAGATCACACAAATGTTATGTGGTGGGCACATTAGCGGAAGACATAATTTTAGGACTTGATTTTATTATAGAAAATCGAATGGCATTAGTACCGTATCTAGGTAAAGCTTTCTTTGACGTAGGAAAAGATAAAGTGGGATTATTAGACCCTACGAAAATTTTAGCATACGATGAAAGGGAACGAATGCTAGTTAACCAACTAACAACCGAGAAACAAGAAATTGAGGTTTTAGATCGCGTTAACAAATTGCCGAATAATGATCCAGAAATAACATGGGTACATCAGAAAGATTCTGAAAATACAATGGCGGATATGTTATCGCGACAGATATCCATTAAGGACAACTTAATAGAAACAGAATATCGGGTTCACCAAATCATTCACTATAATGATAACCGGAATTGGGACTCGTGGAACGAGAAAATACGTCAAGCTCAACGGAGCGATACTAATTTAGCATCGCGAATGGAGGAAAGGCCGGGAAATTTCCAGATCCAACAGGACATAATTTGGGAAAAAAGGGCGGACAAATGGCGTATTCCAGTTAGTGGACCGATAATAGAACAGCTGATTGAGAAAATACATGCGTTCCTAATACATTTTGGGACAGATAAAATAATAGCGTTCGCGAAAAGCATTTTTTATATAGAAAGTGTAGATGCGATCGTAAGAGACATAGTGGCATCGTGCGAATTATGCCAAAAGACGAAGTATTACACAAGAGCCACAGGGGGAGAGCAATACTACAAGCTACCCACTAAACCGGGCGTGAAAATTTCGTTGGACTTGTACGGGCCATTGCCTGTCGCGAAAGGCGGGTATAAATATATCGCAGTGACGATGGATCAATTTTCGAAACTAGTAACGTTTAATCCAATCGGTAATATCTCGACTAGAGAGATTATAAAGATATTTGAAGATAAATATTTCGAAAATTGGGGAAAACCTGACGTGATCCTAACGGACAGGGGTGGACAGTTTCTCTCAAGGGAATGGGCCGATTTCGGTGAAAGAAATGGTATTGAGTTAATCAAGACAACGCCATACAATCCGCAATCTAATCCAGTAGAGCGTGTAATGCGAGAAATCGGACGCGTAATTAGGACATACGCACACTCGAGTCATACTACGTGGACCATGATTTTAAAGCGAGCACAAAACGTATTGAATTCTACCGAGCATAGTAGCACAGGATGCATACCATTCTACTTACATAAAGATGAAGAATACGTACCACTGGGTTTGCCAGAGTTCTTGAGAAATCCAGAACCTGAAATGGAAGATAGGGAAACCTTGATTAGGGAAACACGAAAGAAATTAACCATCGCAGCCTCCAAGCGATACAAACAGTTTATTAAGAAAAATCACCCTGTAGAATACGAAATAGGGAATAAGGTGTTATTGCGAACACATAAATTATCGGAAAAAGACAAAAGACTTAACAGAAAGATTTGTCTAATATACGAAGGTCCATACGAAATAGTAGGGAAACCACATAAAAATGTATACACTCTGGAACGAGACGGAAACGTTTTAGGGAACTTCAACACTAGACAGCTTCGTCC